GGTAACAGAGGGGTTTTATAGGTTTGACTGAACTAATAATGCAATAACTGACACTTTAAATCAATGTTTCAAGAAACAACAAAAAAAATTAACAAAAAACAGATAGAGACAAAAAAGTAGCCATTGATAATATCTAAACAATATGTAGTAGTATAGTATATAGTATCCAAATGAAAATGTAATAAAATTAATTTATGTGTGATTTATGTGTAAATTATGTTCAATATATTAGCTACTAGGGATTGTTACATAGGGCTATACAGGCATCTAGTGGCAACACAATGATATTACAGATACTAAATTGTGCAAAATGTTTATCTTAACAGTCAATTTACAAATAATGCATTCAGATTTGTGGAACTCAATGCACTGAATCTCCACAAATTGGTGTCGTTACTATGACAACCAATTTGAATGTGACAAGCAACTGGTGTCTGAAAAGAATTATATATATATAATAGGGATAGGGGAATAGGGATTTCGCCTAGGGTGTCAAATTGGCTAGAAACGGCCCTGGCTCAAAGGAGAACTTTTCTGATAATGTTTCTACTTAAATAACATGAATTTATCTGTCTTTGCTGTATTAAATGTGTTTCTGCTCTGATATGATGTGATTGACAGAGAGAACATTGACCTGCTGTTTGGAGCTCAGCTGTCTATCATGAGCAGATAAAAGAAAGCATATATCACAGGAAAGCTGAAAGAATAAGTGAGTTTAGACACAGGGAACACACGGATGAACCTAAAGAGCCAAACGCCTTGGCTTATCCTTCTCTTTACCTCTTTACAGAGGTTTCTTCTTCCTCACTAATTATATTTGGAAGTTTAGATGCCAGCTAGTATACTATAAATCTCATATTGAGGCATGAGAGCGGTGCAGTTCATCTTGGGATGCCTGAAAAAGCTGATGGCTCATAAGAAGATAAAATAATTATGATTAATCACATGAATTCCGACCAGTCTACAAAGCATAATGCAAAAGGGATTCTGTCGAAATTTGTAAATAAAATTATATAATAATGTAAATAAAAAATTAATTAATTATTAAATAAAATAAATAAATTGAATTGCATTAAATTAAGCTTTAAACATATATTATTATTATTATTATTATAATAATATGCAATTTTCTCTAATTTTTTCTCTGAAAACATACTTCAGAAAGCAGAATGCAAAAATAATTCTGACTGTCTAAATCTGAAAAATAAATCAATTAATCATTAAATATTAAACTTTAAACATGCATGTATTAATAATAATAATAATACACAATTTTTCTCTAATCTTGTCTGTGGCCACCACAAGGGTCGAGAACATAATGTCTACCCAAATTAGCTATTTAGCCATTGTTTACAAGTTCAGTGGTTTGTAATTTCTGTTCCACAACTGGAACTAAACAGAATTGCAAAAATAATGATTTCAACAAAGTTTCCATTGGTTTGGACAAACAAATAATCTCACTACACTGGTTAAGCCAATGTTGTTTTTGCTAAACCAATCACGCCTTTCAAACAAACAGATTGCAATTCTATTTGCTCCCATTAGTGGCACAGTATGGGAGTGCTTCACTTTTAAGTTTACTGGTTTAAATAATACAGCATGTCTAAAACCTTGCCAATTCTTAACGCAATAACGCACCATACCTCCTACAGATTAAGTTGAGGTTCACTGTGTTTGTTTATACTCATGGTTTTTGCCAGGGTTGGAGGTCTTTTGCAACCTCTGGGGTTTGGTTGAGGTTTTGAAACAAAGCTTGAAAAAAGTTTGTCATTCTTCTTTCTGGAAAAATGTCCCTCAGCACCCTAAACAAATAGAGGAATGTGAAGTATCGGGCGTAGACACTGGGCAGCAGTAACTGCATTAAACTGTGCAATCAAATAATAGCACATCTGCACAATGCCGCCTACAAAAACACATTTGCTGCTCTGGTTTGGTTTCCTCACTCACTTCAGGTCTGTGCATTATGCAACACCTCATCACATATGTGTCTGTAAACCCAAACCACCATAGATCCCCTTGGATCCCATTCCAACATCAAATTAGGTTACGGTTTATATTCATGAAGTCTGACTTTCAGTGCCAAACACCTGTGCCAGTTAAAAGCATGAATCATGTGCAGGGGAAAACATCTGAAGATAACAGATCAGTGTTTAGCTAACAGCATGCTGTGAGTGAGTGCAAATACAGGATATGTTAGCACAGCGTTACACTTTCTTGACCAGACGTGCCATCAGCTGGGGTGAAGGTCAACCAGTAAGAATTCTGTGAGGCAATTCTGAATTAAATCGCCTAGTTGGCAGGTTTATATGTGTTATACATATTTTAGCTGACCCTAAATCAGATATTGCTCTTTCATAGCTCAGTAAATCTAATTGAGTTCTTCATTCAATTATAGACATTATACTAAAATTAATTTATAGAGAGAAAAAAGAGAAACAAATGAGACATTGCTGACATGCAGTAAGATTTAACAACTATGAAATGAATGTGAATAGCAGATTTAATCATTTGGTCTTGGAAAAATTTGATGAGAAATGTTTAAGTTCATATTGAAATCTGACTTTTGATTGCAGACTTTGTATCGAATGTGAGCACAGTTTGAGACATTGTTGAGATCTTTTTTGAAACTCTAGACACGTTTTCTTGTTCCGAGTGTTGTTATGGTTAACTAAAACTAAAACTATTAAAAAGCGTTTTTGAAACAAAATAAAAAATGTAATAAAAATAAATAAAATAAGAAATAAATAGATGAAAAACTTAAACTTAAAATACTTTTGCTTTGGAAACTAACCTAAAATAAATCATTTGAAGCTGAAGTACCTAAATTATTAAAACTAAAACCAAAATTAAAATTTATATAGAAGTATAAAAAAGAACAAAATATACTAAAATGTAAACTAAACCTAAACTGAAAACTTATACAAATATAAAAAATGTAATTAATAAAATAAATATAGATAAACATAAACATGTAAGGGGTAATGCACGGCTAGCTGTGTATTAAATTATTTGAATGCATGATGTCGAAGCCAAGAACCACCCAATGTGAAGCGGAAGTAAGGAAGTAACTAAAACAATGAAGCTGTTTAGCTACTTCGATTTTACCTCATTGCTGAGAGAGATAATGTAGCGATCTAGTATCCATTCTATACTATCTTATTAATAAAAGTCGCGGGGCAGCACCGACAATAAGTTTCTGTGTGCGTGCAGCGCAATCTGCAATCTCCAACCTCTCTCCCACTTCATGTGACCTGTTATATATTAAGCTTTCTGTCATGTACCTCACAAACCAACCTGAAATTGGTCTTTATTTGGGCTTGATTAACACTTAACCTTCCTGGTAAATAACACAAAACAGCTGTGTGGTGTTGTTTTGAAGGACATCTATGCCTTAAGCGATCTTCAGCACTTTAAAATATACCAGAATGTTAGCGAAAGTTCTAAGAATGTTCCCTTTAGCAGGAATAACACGATCGAAGAAGTTGAAATTTATCATGTAAAATCTTTGATACTTTTCAATCCCAGCATTATTAATTGTACAGAGCAACTAAAATGACCATCAACAGCCAATCGAAATTCAGCAGTTTATAAAGTCAAGCTCAAAGAAGCTGAAAATTGACCCCAAACAACTGTATCTACAGGACCTTTTCTTTCAAATGTGTCTGTTTTGGTCATGTGCCCTTGGACCCAAATAATTGCAACTTTCAGATTTTTATTTTATTTTTTCTTGTGGTTTTGGGGAGTTTTTTGTGAGACTCACACCCCAATATCTTTTTAAGTTCAAGATGAGCTGAATGTACAGCAGTGATCTGACCTCTGTTTGTGTGAGTTCTGTGTGTTTATGCAGTGGACTTCTCTTTAACACAGCCAGTGACTTTAGAAAAGGGCACATTAGGACAGGGATGTTCTTATAGCTAGAGGAGAGTTCTGAGCACAACTAAAGAGGTGATGATTCACACACACACACACACACACACACACACACACACACAGTCCTGGAGAGCCGCAGCCCTGCAGAGTTCAGCTCTAACCCTAATTAAAACTCACCTGCCTGTAGCTTCCTAGTAACCGTTCAGACCTTGATTAGCTTGTTCAGGTGTGTTTGATTAGGGTTGAAGCAAAACTCTGCAGGGCTGCGGCTCTCCAGGACTGGAGTTCGCCACCCCTGTTCTATGGCAAAAACAGACTCTTGGAACCCTTGGGTACTCAAGCCTTTCTGATAAGGGCTGCTTGCAAAAGGTTGGGAAACACTGATGTACAACATCTGACCGCTAGGATCATGGTGATGTCGTAATTCTTATGTGATCTTTTTCTTTCTTTTTTGCTTCGGCATAGTGATATCACCATAAGGTGAGGCTGATTTTTCTCTTGTGATTTGTTTCTTGCCAAACTTGTCTCTGCTTCTCTTTCTCTGTGTGAACTCTGATTGAAGGGGATTGAGAGGGGCCAGTTTTATGAATACAGTAACCATAGTATCATATTAGTTGATTAATTGGCTGATATTTGGCCTCTCTAGATATTCGTCTTGGCATCTGCCATTGAAAAACATGGTGGTCCTAGTACTGCTAAATGCTCAAGTTAATAAATATATTTCATGAGGTTGACATGATGTAAACTTTATATTTTGGAAACCTCATGGAATTTGTGATGTTTTTCCTGAATGCTAATCAATCTATGAAAATTGTTGTTTTGTGTAGCTCAGACAGGCTGGGCTGTATGTCACAAGTGTGGAGTAATGCAATATTAATGAATCTACTTCTTTTTCTCTCTCAGCTGGATGAAGAAGCCACGATGTGGGGTGCCAGACCAGTTCGGCGGTGCCTTGAAATTTAGCGTCCGAAAAAGACGTTACGCTCTCACAGGGCAGAAATGGCAACATAAACATATCACGTACAGGTGAGTTACAAAAACACACTTGAAATGCATTTATTGTTCATGCATTTCTGTGAGATTTCTGTCAAAAAAACCCTAAAAATTGTCTTGTCTTCCGGTAAAAATATGTAAACATCCTCACAACAAGATGGCTTGTTAGAAGCAAAATCGCATAAGATACTAAGACTTGATATTAAGACTTGACTTTTACTTTTCTTTTAAGCATAAATCTAACATCATTTTGTGAGGTTTATGCTTAAATCAAGAAAAAACTTTTTTGCCAGTGGGGTAAGAAACGCACACTCAATTCAAAATATATTCTCTGAAAACAAGTTTTAATATTTTTTACAATTTTGTTTCTCAAGTATAAATGTGTCTTGTTTTAAAGGGGTCATATGATGTTGCTAAAAAGAACATTATGTTGTGTATTTGGTGTAATGCATGTTTATGATGTGTTAAAAATGTGTTTATGCGGTTTAAGATTCAAAAAAAAATTTTCCACATAATGTACATTATTGTTGCTCCTCTATGCCGATTTTTACAAAGCTCATCGTTCTGAAAAGCGAGGTGTAAGCTGATTGGCCAGCTATCCAGTGCATTGTGATTGGCCGAATACCTCAAGCGTGTGACGGAAATGTTACGCCCCTTACCATACTGTGATGCCGTGTCCCAGCACGATGAGACAACACCAATAAAACCCATTACAAATGAGGCATTTGTTGCATCCAGTGGGGACATGAAATATAACTACTAATTACATTTGCCTCAAAATAATCTTCCTGACAGTATTGTGTCGGTGGGTTTTTGTGTCAGAAAAAGTGCCCCAAAACTCCTACCACTGTAGAACATAAGTAGAAGTTTATCCACCTATAGAAACATAGTCCCACATCAGAAGGCTTTAGACAGCTGAACAGCTCAAATAACAAACATTCTTACTGAATAATTCATGTAAGTGCTTTAACAAAAAAATTTAATAAAACTCAAGCTTCACATTTCTGCTTTTAAACTCTCCAGCCCACTCTTATTATGAGTGTGTTAATGTACAGTAAAAAGTGTTTTTGCAAGTTGATGGACAAGACAAAATTACAAAAGACCATTGTACCAGCAACTTTTGATATTATATAAGTCAAACAATATGACCTACTAAGAGAGAGAGAGAGAGATTATGATTATGTAATGGAATGGTGGCTTTAGGCAGGACTGTGTATGTGTGTGTGCGCGTGTGTGTGTGCATGCGTGTGTGTGTGTGTGTCTAGCCAGGCTGAGCAGATGGGTAGGCAGATGTTCCCCTCAGCACTCCCTGCTCTCTGTCTTGATCCAGACTGTACCATCCCCCAACCCTGGATCATACCATGAGAACTTACACACACACACACACACACACACACACATACAGAGGCCTCTCCTCATTCTTATGCTTTAACAAGCACAAATAGCATCACTGTATGTGTGTGTGTTAGTCTGGGCTAATTGAGTTGGTCTCAGAGCAGTCTGGGTTCTCATAACCACTGACACACACACATTCATTCATGTTACTGACATAGTTTCAATATTGCCAGCAAAAGACTTGAAAGAACAAATCGAGGTGTTGTGTATTCAGTGACTCTTTTGTGTGAGCCCTTGTGTTTACATGGGTTTAGACGGTGTAATACCACAATTTTAATACCACAGGGGGCAGTCATGGCCTAATTGTTAGAGGGTCAGACTTGTAACCTGAAGGTCATGGGTTTGAGTCTCAGCACCAGCAGGGATTGTTGGTGGGGGGAGGGAATGACCAGCACTCTCTTCCACCTTCAGTAATGCTCAGGGTTCAGTACGAGCTCTGTGGAAAGCGTTTGTGGCATAATGTTGATTATCTCAGAAAATAGTTTGCCTTTGGTCCTCTTTTGTAAGTTGCTTTGGATAAAAACGTCTGCTAAATGCATAAATGTAATTAATTAATGTTAATTAAAAGAACACACTTTCATTGGAAGTAAACGAGTCCAGCATATTTTAAAAAAATGTATAGATTTTTAATCGAGTCTATATCTATTAATATTATTTTAACATTTTATATACAAAAGTAATATAATAAAAACTCTTAAATACACACAAATTTATGTTAAAAACACACATAAGTTACAAAAACACAGTTAGTTATGTCTGTGAAGGTAAACAGTGGGGAAAGAAATTGCATGTTTATATTAGATCTGTGTATGTGTCAGCAGCGTAATATACAGTACCTATACTGCTGTCTATGCTGTTAATATGACCCAAACAATAAAATAAAAACAGAAAATCACTCACTGCTCTGGATTCAATAACTTTTATAGCTTTAATAAGACGACATTTCTTACTTGAATGCTGCTTTTAAATGCTCTCGTGTGCAGATAAACATGGTGGATTGTGTGCGGCTCACTCAGGGCGGGTCTCTGCTAATACGGCGGTGTCCGTCAACAGTCGTGGGCGGGGCCTGTAAAATGTGACATCACATTTTATAGATTCTGCGAACTGCTTGTTCTAAGACACTGCTTATGATTTATGGGGATTAAAAAAAAAAAGGAACAGGTGGATTCTTATCATTATAGTGTGGTTGTGAACATACACTGCCAACACACATTTATGTTCAAACAACATGTAAAAGTGAATTTTGCATAATAGGTGCCCTTTAACGCGGTTAGATGCTGGAAACGATTTATACTGGCTCTGGTCATCAACCAAGTGCTTTCTGACATCCAGATTTGATGCAAATGTATGCTTCTTTTCTCAGTGATTTTTTTAACTGAATCAATTCTGTATGTCGCAGATGAGTAACACGGCAGGAAGATTTGTAAAACACCTCACACAGCTCTAACAAGCAGCCTTCACAGCAGCTGAGCTGAAAATCTAAGCCTAAAGAGGAAAATAAATATCTGAAGGGTCATGAAGTTCAAAGACAGGATTATGATTTCTGGGAAGTACAGCTGAGAAAGACAAGAAAAATACATGAACAGTGGAAGCCAGATGTTGATCTAATAGTTTGCGCTCACAGACAGAACAACTGTATGTGGATGATATCCAAATCCCATCCTGCACTACCTGGAGGGAATGAGAGAGAGAAATAGAAATAGAGAGCTTAGGTTTCCGTGAGATATTATGTCTTGTAAATATTTTAAGAGGCGCAGCTTTAATATAGTTTAAACTCCTCTGCACATTTGAGAAAACAGCTGCTACTGAGTTGATTGAGAGTTTTGGTTAATACACTATAGACACAAGCACTATGTTGTATAAAGTACCTGATAATCATACTTACTGTAAGTACCTGTATAAGAAAAGATACCCTCATGAAGGTACCTCAAGTAAAAGTTAAAGTAACCCATGGGAAACAGTCAGAAGGTTTACTACAGTAATTGATATTTGCATGTACTTACTGTAGGCATCAGAGTCTGTGGAAGAATATGAGTAAGAAAGTGAATCAGAAAGTTGACAAGTTGCTTTGGTTTCAGAATGGTTTGTGAATGAATCGTACAGATAAACTGTAAACCAGTAAACGATTTAATCAAACTGCCTCAATAGAATGATTTATTCACAACTGTATTGTTTCATAAATGTTGTCAAGTGAAAGTATAAATCAATAAATACATTAACACTCAATTGAGGTTTATTGGGGTAACTAACATGAAGCAATGCTTTATATTTTTAGTAGCGAAACAGTAGCTTGGTAGTTTTCATAATAGTGCAGCTTTTAACTTTCATATAAGTTTTAGCAATTTTCTTATGTGATTTTGTCATTTTTTGTTTTTTTAAATATTTCTGTTTAGCCTTATTTTTATTTCAGTTTTAGTACATGCACTTAAACTTTATTTTATTTCAGTTAGTTGCCGATAGAGCATTTTTAATTTTCAATAAAGTTTTTTACGTTTTTGTATTTTGTTCAATTTCCGAAAACAATTTTAGTACTTTTAGTTTTAGTTAACAATAACAACTCTGCAAATGAAGCACGGAGAATCTGATTTATTCCAGTGAATTGGTTCATTTGGATGATTCATGCAAATTAAGCTGTTCAAAAATAAATTTTTTACTGATTTTGAGACTCTGCAAGTACTTACATGTTAATTTCAATAGATTTTGCCCCTTTAAGTTGTGGCTAGATGGCGTGCAGTGCAACTAGATTACTTTTCAAAACATTAGCTTGACTGTGGTTGAACTAACTACTTTAATATGGGTAGCTTGTAGCCTGGTTAAGTTAGTGTATAGTGTACAAGTAGCTTCTTCAACACTGACACCAACACATTACTACTTCAGAAGTAATTCCATAAGACAGAGCGTCTCGAAGTTGCATCCTTCAACCTTTACAAACTCAGTCTAGAGGCAAAAGAAAATTTGGTTTGCTAAAGAGAAACAGTGTGCTTAAAAAACATTTAAATCATATCATACACATCATTAAAAAAAATATGCCCACATCAGGCGACATTTGTAGTGTAGTGAGCTGTTGGCAATCCTCAATGAGAAAATAAAACCTGCTTCACCTGTAGCACATCCAGCAGTGGAGCAGGAGAAGCAGCAGCTCCACCTAATTTACTCTCTTTGTCTGTCTGTCTGTCTGTCTCTCTCTTTCTGCAAGATTTCATGGAGTGAGATACATTCGCTCTGTTCTAAAACCCAGTGCGCTGCCTCTGTAGACAGCATATTAAGTCATTCTCGAAGTGAAAACTGTTCCAAAAAGCCAGCGATATTAAGTTGCCTTATAAGATGCATTTTGGTCATATTCTAATGCAGCCATGCAGTGTTATTTCATTATTTACATTTTTTATAGTTTTTTATTAATATTTTGAATTAGTTTTATTTTTATATTTTCAGTTTTCATTTTAATTTTAGTTTAAGTTTTAGTCATTTGATGTGCTTTTGCCATTTCATTACTGTTTTTGATATTTCTTTTTAGCTTTATTTTTTTTCAGTTTAAGCAATTGTAGTAATTCAAAATTACTATTTTATTAATTATATTAAATATATTTATTTCCTAATTTTTATTTTATTTTATTTTATTCAGCTGCCATTTCAAATTGTTGGTAGTTTTTCTTCTAATTTTACTTCAGTTTTATTTAAATGAACAAAAACAATTGGTAACACTTTACTTGAAGGGGTGTGCATAAGACTGACATGACACCTTCATAATCATGACATGACACATGTCATGAATATGAAAGAGGTTTTATGCATGTTTATGACAACTGTCATTAAGTGTAATTCACTCAGTTCTGTAATTTTTAATGCAAATATGACATTATTTGACCTAACCCTACCCCTACCCTTACCCTTACTCCTAACCATAGCCCATAACAAAGACTCAAACAATGTCATCTTTGCATTAAAAATAACATAACTGAGTGAATGACACTTAATGACAGTTGTCATAAACATGCATAAAAAAACCTTCATATTCATGACATGTCATGTCATGATTATGTAGGTGTCATGTCAGTCTTATGCACACCCCTTCAAGTAAAGTGTAACCAAACAATTTTTAATTTAGTTTTAGTTAACAATAACAACACTGCCTCACAGAGAATTATAATATATGCAGTATATATATATGGTGGCTGACTAAATATTTTTTTCCCCCACCTGTGTATATATATATATATATATATATTAGTTTAATTCAACACCAAAATCACTGATCAAAAATAATTCAATTAAAAATATTTGTTTAATAATACTATTTAATAATATTAATGACGAATCGTTAGCTTAGCATCATATGACCAGCAAACTCTATTAAAGTCGAGCTTCCTGTGCGTTTCATATTTATGTGCAACATATAAATATTTTATTTATATGAGTTATTTATTTGATCATTGTATGTAAAATACACACTTTCTGATTGTCATCTTATCCTCTTTCCAGTATAAAAAATGTCACGCCTAAGGTGGGAGCGGAGGAGACCCACAACGCCATTCGCCGGGCGTTCGATGTGTGGCAGAACGTCACGCCGCTGCGTTTCGAGGCAGTGCCCTATAGCGACCTGGAGCGCAACAAGAAAGATGTGGATATTACTATCATTTTCGCCTCAGGTTTCCACGGCGATAGCTCCCCCTTCGATGGAGAAGGGGGTTTCCTTGCACATGCCTACTTTCCCGGTCCGGGGATTGGAGGAGACACACACTTCGATTCAGATGAGCCCTGGACTCTGGGGAACCCTAACCATGACGGTACGTAAACCTGGTTATTGGTGGCTAATAAACCCAGCTTTATTGGAGAATAAATCTCAGCTCTCTCTCCATTAAAGCAAATAAATTTGTTGTATGAGCCCTGCTTTTCTGAACTGCTCTAGAAAATGATGGAGTCTTACATGTTTATGTATATGTACTTGGTCAATTTCAGCTTAAATTCCTTTAAATTTAAAGCAATTGACATTTTGAGAGGGGAACTGGTTCTATGGAACTTTTGTATCAAGTAAACTAGATATTCAACAGCATAACTATATTTTGCAAGGTTTTCTGTCTGTGAAATAATCAGAACTTATTACCTATGGATAGGTAATATCCATAATTTGAGTTTTTCCACGCTGACCTATTATTGTTGTTGCACTGATTTCAGATTTACCCATCCCTAAACCGCGTGTACAAACAAAAACAAACCGTGGTCTCTTTACATACCGGTCAGATGTCTCTTCCAGAACGAGCTGCAGTGTGGCTCAGACGTCTGTCTCTGCAAGACCAGCTTGTCTCTGTCCAGTGTTGCCAGATCTCTAGAAAAAATAAGAAACTCAGTCTGACAAACAAAGCCCAATGTACTCCGCTCAGCAAAATATGCCAAAATAAGCATTTGTGTGGCTTGACTGTGTTAATTGTTAAATGGGATAAGAACTGGGGTCGAAATCTAACAAGCCTAAATATTGTAAGCAGCTGTAAATAAGCCCAAAAACTGCAACCTGTGACTTTACGAAAAAACACACACATGTAAAAGTCGTTTAAAATATGCACATTGCAACACTGCTTCTGACACCAAGTGTTCTGAATTAAAAGATATTATTTGCACAGAATATATGGTGTTGGGGCGGAGCCATGGTGCGGTCAATCATTCTGCAATTGTAGCCATTAGTTCAGATGTGTCAGTTTAACCAATGTAACCAATTTCTCAAGTGGACTATTAAAGTACAACAGTGTTGCCACATGCACTCAACATGCAATATCACACACAGTTCTGAAGCTTTACTATTTAAGATCACATCACCAAACCTGTTTCACAACTTAAAGTCTTTGCAAGCATTTATATAAAAACCTGCTACGTACAAACTGTATCACTTGAGTAAAAAAAAAGAGGGTTGAAATATTTCAAATGGCATCATACTGTGAGATATAAAGATGAAACAAGAACCAAGTCTCAATTAAGAAATATTAAGTCACCTTTTTGAGATATAAATATTGTGAGATATAAAATCACATTAGAAAATACAAAATATTTAGTTATGATATAAAAGTCACAATTGTTAGATTTTGTTAGATTTTTGACATAAAATATCAGTTTAAAATATAAAATATTTTGTTGTGATTTTACAAAATGCAATTGTGAAATATTAAGTCAGATTTAAGATGTAAAATATTTGTGAGATATAAAGTCAGAATTAAGAGATATTAAGTCACATTTTGAGATATAAAAATACTGTGAGATAATACATTTGCAGTTGTAAGATATAGTCACATTTTAAAATATGAAATATTTTGTTGTGATTTTAAAATATGCCATTGTGAGATATAGTCCGATTCAGAAGTCAGATTCTACAATATAAAACATCATTCATGAGATATAAAGCCACAATTACGAAAAAATACAGTAGCAATTTTATTTATTTTTACTTTGAGGCAGAAAAGCTTCTATACTTCTATATTGTCTCCTTCAAATCTAACTGCCCTCTCATTCTCCATTTCCCCTGCACTCATTCCTAGCTATCAATTTTCTATATTTTCTACACTTGCCATCCTGCTTTTATAGGTAGCCTTTAGGTATCTGTCTCTCTCATTCACCACATTTCAAATTGTTGCCATTTCTGCCATCTATCATATAATAGGTGTACTTGCATACACTCACAAACACCCACAAAGCACACAGTCTACAGGAGACAACACTTCTGCGCCTCTGTCAAATCATTCCCTTGCCTTTTGCCGGGGAGGTGGCGATCGGTTGCCGGGCACAGTTGTTATGTTTACTTTGTTGATGTGCAGCGAGGGATTACAGTTCTCAGAAGCCTCACGTGGGCCGACACTTCCACTCGCTGGTTGTGGACATCCTCTCTACCTCTCCTCTGTCTCGCTGTCTTGTCAGGGAGTTCAGCTGTAAGTAGGTCAGCCAGTGTGTAAAGCAGTAAGTGACTGGGATTCTGGGAGTATAATAAGGGAGGACACAGCTCACAAGATGTTTAGTCTGGGTTAGGGGGACAAATTACACAGAAAAATGCGATTTTCTCTCTCTCTCTCTTTTTTACTTTTATCACCCTGCTTGGTTTCAGAAACAGACACAGAACATTACGGCTGGGCTGTGGAACTGTGTGTGTGTGTGTGTGTGTGTGTGTGTGTGATGGAGAGCAGTTAGACCGCACAGCAAGAACAATCTCCTCGTCTCGTTCTAGGCTGAGAGAGAGAGAAAGAGAGATTGTCTGGGACGATAAAGGTGAAATACACAGAATAGGGCGAGAAAACAATTTGTTTACTTGCACAACCACAGCTGTACTTTAGTTCCAAAACTGTGAATAGGTGAAGCTGTGTAGCTTCTTTCCTTCTGCTATGGACATCGTGGTGAAGTGGTTTAACCAAAAGGTTGGAGTTTCAAACCAACAGTTAAGGTTTAGATAAGATGGCCCTATTAGCCTGTGCTAGTAGATGCCACAGCTACATTCTGCAGTCAAGCATCTTTTGATGACCATTCAAAAATTAGTTTTACACATCCAAAGTTAAGTGCCACTATTATTATTGCTTACATTTGAATCCTAACACAGGATTTTTTTCAAACTTTTTAATGCTAAAGACCCCCAAATATTATTATCCCCCTTCCTGAAATATAAAAACATCTACATTAGTAAAAGACATTGAGAAAAATTTATATTTTTCTAATATTAATAAAATATTCAGTGTGACATTATACAGATGTTTCTTTTATATTGTCATATTAAAGCAAATTATTAAAATATTCTATCAATTATAATTAATTATATTTAATTATAATATTATATACAATATTTGCTTTTTAATATATATATATATATATATGAAACCTTTTCAGTTCAATTCAAATTTTTACCATTTTCACTTTTTACAATAAGTATGATTTTTCATGATTTCTGACTTCAGAACTTGACCTAAATTCTGTAAATATGTTAAATGATTAAATGTAATACATAAATGTAATATAAACATCATGCAAGTTTTAATAGAGAGCGTGGAATTTATTTTTAATTACATTTTTTTTCAAGTTTATATTGGACTTTTATCAGACGCACATATGTTACGATTCAGATGTGTGAGGCACTATATTTTCTATTTTAAAATATTTATTTAAAAATAAATAAAACTATGACACTGTTAACATGTTAATTGACATCCCAAAAAAAAAAATTTTTTTTTTACGTAATAGACAGCATAGATCCCAGACCCTAGTTTGAAAACCCCTGCCCTGTCATCAAGATTTGCTAAATCTTGTTTTACACAAATTCAGATCTGCCTTCAGCAAACAAGAACTTATATGAAACAAGAAAACCTGTAATATTTCCAGCTACTCATACAGGCACCATACCTGCATATTACACTCTTGAAAAGATAAGCATGTTTTGTTTTTCACCAAAATGTCCCCAGGGAGGGGTAAATGCAGGCGAACATGGTTTCCGACAGATTTGGAAGGTTTTTGCGCTCTAAAGTTGATGCGATATCATTGGCTCAGTGGAAAATATGGAACATTCATGTGGCTGCACTCATGCAGGAAATAAAAATTCCAGAGTGATATTTTCTCTCCCTCACCCAAATCAGGGTGAGACGGGGTTTGCCGGGTTAGAAAAACAATCGAGAGTGAGGAATGCCCTTAATGTTTTGTGAATCCGGAGACATACTTAAATAATTGAAGAATTTCACCTACATTTCTGATGAACACATTTAGTCACACATGGGGACGTGTGTACAAGAGCAGGCCGAAATCGCGGCTTGTGTCAGAGCAATGGGGGGGGGGGGAAATGAAGAGGAACATATTGCAAATCCACATCAGTCAGTTGGTTATCAGCACGGGGAAAGAGGTGTGTGTGTGTGTGTGTGTGTGTGTGTGTGTGTGTGTGTGTGTGCGTGCTTGCGTGTGTGTGTGTGTGTGTAGGAATATGGATTGAAGATGTGCAAAATTACATTTTTAGAATCTACCAGTCAGTGGGTTGCTTGTTGACTGACTAATCATAAGAAAGGCTTAAATGATAGATAGATAGATAGATAGATAGATAGATAGATAGATAGATAGATAGATAGATAGATAGATAGATAGATAGATAGATAGATAGATAGATAGATAGATAGATAGATAGATTCAATGAAGATTGAATCCTTTAAAATTGTATCAGGGTTTCCACAAAAAATATTATGCAAGAGTTGCATCCCATATTTTCAACATGTTGAGCAGCAAATCAGCATTAGAATGATTTCTGAAAGATGCTGACACTGAAGACTGATGTTGAAAATTCAGCTTTTTAAAATATTATTTCACAATAATACAGATTTTGTTTGTTTGTTTTTTTCCATAAAAAAAAATCAAAAGCATCAAATAAATCAAAAGCATAAGTGACTACAAAATCTTACCAACCTCAAACTTTTGAATGCTGGTGGTGTGTATTATATATAAAAAAAACATATAGATAGAATCAACATAATCAACACTATGGTGGCAGTAAAAAAAATAAATCAACAAATCTTTGCCAAAGATTCACAATCCAATCAAATCCTGATGAATGCAACACATTATAGAAGTTAAATGCAAATGCGGTTTTATGTTATCTTGAAACTGCTTCTTTCACGTTGTCAGAATTACTGTAATTATGAGATGACAACTCTGAGAGCTGTTCACGTCCTCAGACTCAGAAATTATTAATTTCTATGGCAACTCTTACAACGGCTAAACAGATGCATGTGCGGCTTTGTTCCTAATGACATCAAAACGTAATCACTCTATTAATTCACTTCTAAAA